TCCAGTCCCAAAGCCCCGTGGTGCGTTGCTTCGCATCCCAGCAATCCCGGTGCTTCCGTCCGTGTTTGGCACCATCTTTCAACGGTTTGCGTACCGGGCGCCCTGCCTCCTCGGGCTGCAGGAATGGATCCCGCACTGCTGACCAGGATGCTGCTCGCTCTGACCAACGCATCACGAGTGGCAGTGGAGTTATTCCTTCAACTCCAAAGGCAAGAGGAGTCTGACGTTGATCTCACCATGCGTAGTAGCTATGACACAACAGTCCTGAAGATCTTCCCTTCAGAAAATAGCCAGGGACAAACTCTGGAGGGTAGGGCACCATAAGACCTTGGCTGGTGTGATGCGGGAGGTAAGGACGGCTCGGTGTGCGCCTATGAAGTGGGGAGCTCCAGATAGAGGCACTGAGTGAGCCCGGGTGCAGACTTGGGCTGCGTAATCCTAGGCTATGCATCACCACACTCTTTCTAATGCTGCCATGTATTTGTACAGCCCCTAGCACCCTAAGGCCCTAGTCCAGTAGCATACTGCATTACAGTGAATAAAAATCACTGGTGCTGCTCGATGGGTAGGCCAGGCACAGGATGCAAACTGCCTGCGTCCCCTCGGATCTCGTCGTGGGCTCAGTGGCTTGTGGAAGACACCTTTGAAACCGGCAAATACTCTCTTCTCTTTGCTCCAGTGGATCACACCTGCTGATGGTGCTGAGCAACATTCAGCAGTTGGTGATGCTGAAGGTGCATGTCAAAATCCAGTTTCCTTCTAGCTGTGTGCTCCTTCACTTGGGTGTTGCTCTGTGTACGCCAGCATTATTGACAGGCTGGGGTTGGTTTGGGTTGTTTTCTTAATTGTCTATCATAAATAAATGGCAAGTGGATGCTGACTCTGCTCGTAAACCATCCCTGGTATCTTCACGCCCTCAGGCACTGCATGTACAAAGCTTGTCTCCCTGCCTGATGTCTCTTACAGTGCCTCTGAAGTGTTACAGTTTGGTTTCACCACCCTCATCCCTGCCGGCTTCCTCTCCTGTGGTGACGGGAGGCTCCTTTCTTGGCAGTACTGATTGTGCAGCCTTCACAATAGAAGGATGCTGTTAATTTCCTCCTCCTGATTGGCTCACGTGTCTCTGATCCCCGTCCAACAAGTGGAGGTTTATAGAAATTTGCTGAGCCACATACTTCCTCTTTGCAGCAGAGATGGACTTGTGTTCCTACTGCCGACAGCCCGGCCATCTTTACTTCTTCATTGTTCGCATTGTCATCTTTCTCAGCAGAGCCACTGGCAAAATCCGAGTTGCCATGTGCTATTTGTAAATGCAGCAATGCAGTCGCGCTAGCTAGGTCCTTGGGTAAACAGTGATGCAGGGGAGGCAGTGTTCAGATTATAGTGTGCAGCACTACAAGGCTATTAATGCAACATCATCACATCTCTCAAAATCAGCTTCTGTAAAGATCTTCCCCAAAACTCAGCATGTACTCTGCAGCCCAGAAGTGCACACACCACAGGGGAAACCAACTGATTTCTATTCCGATCACAACTAGCCAGCAGGGAGGATGGTAGTGGCATTAAAGCCTGGTGCTGAGAGTCAGGGTGCTTAGGTTCTATTCTTGAATCTGCCACTGATTTCCTGTGTGACCTTGAACAAGTCACTTAACTCCTCTGGTATGTCAACACTCGAGGGAGCATGCAGAGAACAGAAACTGCACCCTGAGCTAGCAAGGCTATAAATAGCTGTGTAGATGGTGAGCCACAGCTTAGGCGAGCCGAGCACCCTGCACACCTGACCCCACAGGGTATATACCCTGCACGGCTCTCTACACATCCAAGCAGCACCTCCCACATCGGCACTGCAGTTATTAGCAGTGCAATGTCCTCCTGCCTCAGCTTTCACTGTGGCCCGTAGCCAGATAATTACACTGTCCTACATCACAGGAGTGTTGGGAGGGTAAATTTATTCAGGCTCAAGCAGTGTAGCCCAGTGAACAGGGCACAGGACTGCGAGTCAGGAGACCTGGTTCTATTTCTGGCCTTGCTGCATGACTTTGAACAAGTTCCTTCACCTCTGTTCCCCCTCCCATCCTTTGCTTGTCTTGTATATTTAGAGTGTAAACTCTTCAGGGCAGGGACTGTCTTTTACTCTATGTTCACAGAGTGCCTAGCACAATGGGGCCGCTTTGGGGATGTTATTTGACAGTTCTCCACGGTGGGGTTTCCAGCACCTTCCTTTGAACATCTGATGCTGGCCAATGTTAGAAACAGTCACTACTGGACAGACCACTGGTCTGATCTGGTATCGCGATTCCTATGCTCATGTGAAAGCATTCCTAACGATTGCAATTAGTTGCTAATTTACAGAATAGTTGCACACTGTCTGTGATTGTGGCCTGTCACATGCACACTGTGCAGAATTGTTCAAGGCCAGTATTACTTCTGTGCATTGCACTGAGCTGAGTTTCGCAGCTTTTGTTCCAATTGTCATCCCTTTGCCCAGAATTCAGAGTAACAGCCGTGTTAGTCTGTATTCGCAAAAAGAAAAGGAGTACTTGCGGCACCTTAGAGACTAACCAATTTATTTGAGCATAAGCTTTCGTGAGCTACAGCTCACTTCGTCGGATTACACTTTCCACAGTATGCATCCGATGAAGTGAGCTGTAGCTCACGAAAGCTCATGCTCAAATAAATTGGTTAGTCGCTAAGGTGCCACAAGTACTCCTTTTCTTTTTGCCCAGAATGTTTCTGGAAGTGGCAGGGGAAGAAGGTGGATAAGTCAACTCTGAAACACAAACCTTTTCCCTCCAAGGTAATGCAAAGATTTCAGCCGGGAGCTTGGATCTTCATCTGCAAACATTCTGCTCTGGAAGGCTGAGATTGTCCAAGCAGCAATTGGCTCAAAGCTGATAACGCCAGCGTTTGTAACAAACCTGCTGCCAAATTCCTGTGCATTCCACCCAGGCACTTTGTGCATCCGGGAGGTGTCGGAAACCTGGTCCTCCTCTCGCTGATGTGTGGGAAGTAATGAACTCAGGACAGTCTGTCCAAGCTCTGATGACTCTTAGAGCCTGATCCCACTTTATGGGAAGATTCCCAAGGGACTGCTTTGGAGGCATTTGTTTATGGAGAGTTATCACCTGACTAGTGTTTACTGACTGAGCTTATTTTTGCAGGGAATTTGGTCACATCACAAGGTGAGGCTGAGAGCTCTTTAAAAACACCTTTCTTTAATAAATAAATGGTTTGCCCTGGGAAGGCTCCTCCAGGGAGGGTTTAGAAGCCTCAAATATCAACCCAAGCTAATGGAGCCAGAATTTCCCGGGAAAGTGTCTCGGGCAGGGGTTTGCCCCAGTTACTGTTCAGATACCACTGCCCAGCTCCCTGCTCTACCCACGTGCTGGTGACCCTTTAGGGTGGAGGGGGGAGTGTCTGCTTTCTGAAGAGGTGGCACAATGCATGCTCGTGGTTTGGATAGTAAGACCACCAGGCTGTTCTTTCCCTCTGGGCACAGTGCAGAACCCCAGAAATAGCCCGTGGCCAATATACCCTCTTCTCTTTGTTTGGCCAACAAGTGCAGGGCTGGGGCTGTGCTCAGGCATATGGCTGAGGGTCAGCACCCCGTGTAATCTTGCAAGCCCAGAGACAGCTGCCAGGCTGACCTCGCCCCTACTGCTATTCCCAATGACTAGGCATGTACAAAGGGGGAGACAGTATCTGTCTGGTGGCTGGCAAGAGGGTGGGGGGATGAATTGTGCTCTTTAGATATCAGACACCTTCACCTCTTTTAAGTGGGCCACCCTAACACTCCTGTGCAGCAGAACCGTGTTTTCTTTGGCATGTCCGAGGGACGCAGAGCCTGCTGAGGATCTGTAGTTGTTATGCTGCCCAGAGGTGGTTAAAATGCCAATCGCGTCTCAAAAAACCAGTGAGGTCCCACATTGGAGCAGCACATGCAGTCACAGTGGCTGTACCAGGCCCAGAGGTCTGTGCTGCCTCTGGGGTGGGAAACCTCATGTCCTGCAGAAGGTGGGGGGTGGGGACTCCTGTCTGGGAGAGTGGCCTCCATAAAGCCAGGTGTGCTGTTTGCCCACAGTGTCTACAGGTCTGGGTAGAGGAGGAAGCTCCCTTGCCCACAAGTGCTCTGTGTTGGCGATTAGTGGCAGGGCTCTCTGGGCTCATCAGGTTCCTCCTGCTGCATCATGGCAGGATACAGACAGTGCCCGGGGCTGAGTCACCTGACCCACACTGGTGTAAACGAGGTGTACTTCAGCGGAGTTAGACTGGTGCGAGTGAGAGGAGAATCCCGCTCCGTGGGACCAATCCTCCTCTGCCTTTGGGCACTCATTCTACACCATTGCAACATGGGTGTCAAATGCTATCAGAGCGGAACTGCAAAGCTGCAAACATGCCGCATGGTGAAAAGAGAACCGGGAAGCCCAGCTGCTCCCCCCACCCGTCAGAAATGCAGAGGATCTGATGGTTAACAAGTCAGCCACCTCGCTTCAGAAACGCCTGCTCGACAAGACGGCGAGAGAAACCCCAGCAAAAGCAGAAGGGAAAGCGAGGAGCAGGGGGCGGGAATGAAAGTTCATCTCAACAACAGCATGAAAAAATACAAGGCAGCTCTATCGGCTGCAGCATCTTTCCTCAAACTGCGTCTGACCCCCTGGGTGCCGAGATAAATAGAGCCACTGTGAGAGGAGCCTGAGATTCCTCGACGTGCCCTGGGGGGGCTCTGAGTGCAGCTACCATGTACCTGGAAGAGCTGGGATCCTAAGGAGATCTGCGCTGTAGCGAGCCGGAGGGAGGATAAATAGTGACAGAATCAAAGGCAGTGATTACTCACTCCCAGAGCGGATGCTCTGTTGCCATGGCATGGGGGGGGTGGGAAATTACTTTGAATTCTCCTCTCCCCTTGGTGTTTTTAACTTCGCAAGCCTGAAGTCTGCTCGCTTCACCCCGCAAATTGGTCACAACCAGTCTCCAAGCAGCAGGGGAAATACGCTTCCCGGGCGACAAGGATGGGGGGCGCAGAGCCAGGCATCCTCCCTGCCAGCCAGAGTAGTACGGTCCGAGGGGGAGGCTCTTTGGAGAATGTGCAGTCTGCTATCTGGCAGCCAGCTGATTCCAGCAGTCAGGGGGCTCAGATGGAGCGAAGACGGCTGAGGTGGTGGAGCAGGTTCTGCTGACAAGGGTTTGTGCAGCGCCTTGGAAATCTGGGACAAATCGCTCCTTTCCGTTGCCATTGTTCGGAAATGCAAGTCAGCGCAGCTGTTTAAGTCTCGGCGACAGGGGCGTGCAGCATCTGGAAGCGTCTCTGCAGGCAGCCTGCCCCAGAGGAAGCTGCCGAGAGCGGGGATCCGATGGTTCACTTTTAACCACATCCGTGCCTCAGCTAGAAATATTTACAGGCGTTTGTCACCGTTTCCCTCCATTTTGAAAAGAATCCCCTGGCAGCCGGAGCTGGGAAAGCTGTTCTCATGGCGTTTAGCCCCTGGCAGATCCTCTCCCCAGTCCAGTGGGCCAAGTGGACGTGGTCTGCTGTGCGAGGGGGGGGTGCTGGTGACGGTGAGGATGGCGGGGCAGATCAAGAAATAGAGGAGGACGACTCGCAGGCAGAGACCAAATCATTGAGTTTCAGGCAAGTATGCAGCATCCCTGCTTTGCGAGGACTCGGCCTTTGAACTTGTCACAGTCCCGTTAATCTCCAGTCCCCGCTGACTCGCACGTGTAATGGCATTCATAGCATGATGCGTCCTTCCAGGGACAACATGCTCTGCTGTGGCTGGGTGAAGTCCCATGTACTGCATCTGCCCTGCTTGTCAGCTTCTCCCTTAAGAGCTTGTTGGCTATTCAGTGCATTGAATGTTCAGCATTTGCATCTGCCTTTGCTAATTCTGCCCTTCCCTTCGGCTCTCTAGACACAGTGTGTAGCGTTAGCGTTATTAATTCCCAGCATCCTGGGACCTGCGCTCCTTTTCGGAAACGTTCAGCTTTGTGGATTTCGGGCACCGTTAGTCCCACGGAGATGCAGCAATGGTAGGGGAAGGGAGTTGTGGCAGAGCGGTCCTGCAGGCCCCGGCAGCTGCTCTGACATGGCGCTCTCTCGTCTCAGTGCAAATGCTAGCAGACATGAAACACGCAGGTAAAGGCTTATTTTCTGAACTTCCCAACATCCAGCTGGAGCTTTAGAGGAAGGGACTCCAGTCGGAGGTGCCATGTCCCAGGGGTCACTGACCCATGCTGAGATAGCTGGTGTGTGTTTTCACGTAAAAACAATCTGTGCAAAAGGGACCAAAGTGTAATGGTGCTATGTGACTAATCTCTGATAGATGGGCATCTGGGGGAGGGAGGCTGGAAGGGAAGTTTCAAGGGGAATTGACTGTAACATGGTTTCACCTCCTCTACCTTTTCCATTCGTTAGCATGGTGTGCTGGGAATGAATCACTCCCAGCCATGGGATGTCATCTGCGGATCGGTTGATTTGCTGGTCGCCTGGGAGCTGGAATCCAGTCTGGTTGGATATTTAGGGAACGTCTGTGAAGCACTTCAGAGCTAGCCTTGAAAGTGGTAATTCTTCATTCTTTTCCCCTCCTTGGCAGCTCGGATTCTGAAGGCAATTTTGAGACCCCTGAAGCAGAAACCCCAATCCGGTCACCTGTAAAGGAGATCTGTGACCCATCGCTGGGATTGGATGTGGCCGAGGCCAGGACCCAAGGTAAAGAGATGGCATGCATCTTTTCTGGTCTCATTTTATTTTGCTTTGGATGCAGAAAACAGGGTGGGGCTGGGGACGGGAAGTTGTTTTCTTGAATAATGCTTGCCAGGTGTTTGCAGTTCCTGGGCAGGATAGTTTAAATGCAGGTGCTCAGGGCTATGCACCTGCTGCAAAGGGCCATTTTAAGTTGAGTGAAATGTTGATTTATTGGACAGTTTTGAGGGGCCAAGGGTTGCACTGACATGTGACTGAGTCAGTTCGATTCCCCAGCTTGCGCCCTCGCGGTGCGCAGTTATAATCAGGCTGTTTTGCAATAGTTGGTCACACCCACCCGCTACCCCCGGAGCAGCGATAAAGAACCAGCAGGAATGTGGCAATATGGCAAAGATGTCTAGAGAGCCGGTTTTGTGAGTTACCCCGAGGGGCTGAGGCTTTTTCCCGCGGCCCAGTGGAGACCACAGCATGCAGCCAGAAGCTGCTCGGTCTAATGGAAGGGAGCAAAGGGTATTTTCAGACTCTTCTTTTTCGAAGCGCCCTCCCTGACTTCTTCCTGAAAACCCTGCCGGGGTAAATATGTCTCTTGTTGGCTCGGGGAGTCACTTGACAGTCAGCTGATTGATGGGTGCCGTAGAGCAGGCAGGCCCTTTGTGATGGCACAACTCTGCCCACTTTCACAGTAGCTGATGCGATGTTTCATCCCTCAACCATTCCTCATTACTGTCTGAAGCTGAGATTTTGTTGCCTGGGTAAAGGGGATTTTATAATGTCAGTGGCACAGTGTGGAGATGAACAGGAGTTGACCTCTGGACATCTGGGACTGATTGATTAAGTGGATTTGGGTGTCTCAATTTAATTGCTCTTGGGCATGTGTCCAGGTAACAGAACCACAGCTGGACAATCTGACATGATAGCCTGTGCATTGTAAGCCCAGATCTAGAAAACCAGGTGATGGCTGAGGTGTACTGGCAGAGCTGGGGTGGGGCTTGGGGAATTCGCACTGAAACAGAAGAGGCACCTACCGGCCCGCATGGAAGGGCATTGGCAGAGCTCTACAAGGAACCTCACGCTGTGCGGATGGTACTGCATATAAATTGTGTGCAGAAATAGTCAGAATCCACTGCTCTGACAGAAAACCGTAGGTTGAATATACTGCAAAAGAGTAACAGCCATGTTAGTTCTGAATGCCAGGAATCCTATCTGAATTTACCTCTGTTAAAATGCTGGCCCTAGAAGGGGTTGAAATGTGCATACCTCTCCTGCATGCACTAACAGTTTTTCATAGTTCTTCCCAGTATGGTCGCTGTTAAAATTTTAGAAACTTAAAATCTCTGATCCTCGTTGTTAAAGAAACAGCCAGTGAGAGCTGCAGAGAACCAAGGGCTTCATTGCCCAGTCAGGTTCTCGTGTCTCTATGGCTGCGGTCAACCAGGATCCCATGATGCAGTTAGTGATACCATATATCTCATTCCAGTCATCTGCTCTCTCCCACACACTCCCTCCCTGCACAATGCTGAGTGCTAGCCAGCCCTGTTAGCCCTTCACACTCCCGGATTGAGTTTCTAAGTGGAAATCAGGGTTAATGCCCCTAGGGTTAGTGCCCAGACTGGGTGCTGTTGTCAGTTCCTGTGTCTACATCTACTTCTTGTTGCAGTGTGGTGGCTTTGTAAAGAATGTGGAAGGCTATCGATGAAAAGGATTCTGTGGGACCTCCCCCCGCACCCTACTCATCCATCCAATCTGCAGGGCAGGTGATTGAATCATGTCAGAGCATGGTGACTTGTAGACCTCCAAGGCCATATGCAGGAGGGTAGGAAAAGCCCAGTGCAGTGTCTCTGGGTGAGAGGGGAGCTGGGGACACAGCGTACATTGGGACTAGCCACTCTCACTGGGCACATAGTGCTGGCTTGGTGACCTGATCTAGTCTCTGCCCTTCTTCACCCAACAGGGACTCATTGCCCTGGTGTTTCGCTCACAGGCGTTTGCTGATTGCTCAGTCTGTTTATGCTGGGTTTGTAATTTACCTCCCTCGAGTTGCAGCTGATTACCTCTGTTCCATTAGGTTGTTGTTTCAGCCAGTGGGGCGCTGAGACTGGTGGAAACATTCTTGGCTATAAGAACAGGAGGACTTGTGACACCTTAGAGACTAACAAATTTAATCATGAGCTACAGCTCACTTCAGAGCTCAAGAGTTGGAGCTGCTCCTTACTGTGATGTGCCCTGTACTCCAGCCCACCATCGGACCACAGTACCAGGTGAATGCAGTCAGCGCTGGGATCTGCTGCCAGGCCTTTTCAGTAGAGGGACCATCCATCGTTAGTGAACCTGGTCTCCTGTTGTTGCTGGGGCAGAGACCCTAGTGCTAGTCCAGCTAGACCGGCAGCAGGTGCTGTTTGTTTGCCTAGGCGGAGAGGTTCGGGCAGGGAGGCCACTCTTACTGCCAAGGGCTAGCAGGGCAATCCTTTGCTTTTTAGAAAAGCCAAAGGTTACTCCGTTTGTAGGCTGATGTTCTGGGGCGTAGAGGGTGGGATTTCTCAGGAGATTTTCCTTGCCGGGTATCTGATCATCTCTACAAAGACTCTGGCTCAAGGAAGCACATGGCACAAGTCTCCAGGGAGACACTTCAACATGTTAAATATCTCCGAGAACTGCATTTTGCCCCTGATTTTCCTGGGAAGAACTATTCCTGAAAACTACTGCCTAGGCCAAAACTCAGTGCGCAAATGAACGGGCTCCTCATGGTATCCCAGACAAAGGTTGCAGTGTTCCTGGGCCCTACTGCAGGGCATGGGGCTAGGGCTGCTGAGAAGGCAGGGTAACCAGCTGCACTGTCTAGGACGTGTTGCGTTTATGCTCTCATTCCCTAACAGCTGAATGTCAGGGGCGAGCGACATACCGGTGCTGCTGCTGGTAAACAGGAGCGGTTTTGACACTGGCTGCTAGAGCCAGCTCCTCATGGGTGGCACATAGACCAAGGTCTTGTTGGAAGGTCACCTTGCAAGGAAGGCTCCTGGCAAGCTTGTCCCTTTCTTTATCTTCAGTGTCCGTGACAGTTTCACACTGGCAGATCACATCAGCAGGGCAGGGTGCTGGGGAACCGATTCAGGACGAATGTAGTCTCCGCTGAGTTCAGCTGCTGCCCGCTGTGTCTGCCTCGGGCTCTAGATGAAATAGATCCATTAGAAAGCACAAACCCAACTCCAGCCACATGGGCTCGGGTCTCTGGAACTCTTGGCCAGGGAGCAATTCGGAACTGCTGATGGAGTGAGGCAGGTACAGATACGCGGCAGTGGAAGCAGTCACTGTCTGTCTCCGGACAAGCTCTTAGTATCACATTGAACATTTTTCAGAGTAGCAGCCGTGTTAGTCTGTATTCACAAAAAAGAACAGGAGGACTTGTGGCACCTGAGAGACTAACCAATTTATTTGAGCATAAGCTTTCGTGAGCTACGGCTCACTTCATCGAATGCAACATTGAACATTGCAGCTGAAAAATAGCCTGTGTTTGCAAGAGGCTTCATCCATTGCCCTCCAGCAAAGTTTCTGTGACATACTTGGCTCTTGAAACGATGGAGTGAGGCCTCTCATGATGCATGTACTATGCTCAGACGACTTCCTGGGATATAAGACTACTGGATCTTTGGCTAATGCAGACATTAAACCCTCCTCATAACAATGCATCTTGGTTCCCTGGGAGGCTGGGAGGGAAGTGTACTTAGCACAGTCTGCATGCGAGTGGCCTGGCGCTCAAGAGCTGTGGTAGCTGTCATCGATACAATAATCAGGAATCAGTCCAGTTTAATGATTGCTTATCAGTGTTTAAACAACAGAGGTATCGGGGATAGCAAGATCAGGGTGCCCAGAGTGTTTGGGAAATGGCTGCTGTCCGTAAAAGCTGCATGCACAGACATGCCACGGCCGTTCCCAGTACTGAGATGCGTTAGTGGGAATAGAAACTCATTTATCCACATAAAATTGTGATATCATCAGTATGTAGAAATAAAATTAGGTTATGAAACCTGTAAGGACAAAAGCACTGAACGGGGGAGGCCTGTTGCACAGACAGTCGAACTAGGATAGATACATTGCACCCTGCATGTTCACAGTTAGAGATACAGAACGTCCCACTCACTTTCAGGCCAGGCCACTGCGCTCATTCTCTCTTCCCGCACAAAATCTTTTCTTAACTCTTTTTCTTTATCATCCAGGACTAGAGAGACCCTAATTCTGCCCTATTCTCTCTAAAGACACCTCCTCCCTCTCTGCTAGAGAGTTATTTTTCACAAGGAATTAAGCAGAAGGACTAAAAACAGATCCTGGATTGTAGCAGCTCTCACCAGCATTTACTTCTGTTACCCGTGATTCAAGCTCATGTTATACTGTATATTAACAGCATTATCACTGGTTGGTTTGTAAAGCACCATTCACAAGTATCCTGATGCTTAACAGCAAAATAGACTTAAAACAGACCAGTGTCTGTTAAACAACAGTGAAAAAACAGCAGAGAAAAGTCTAGCTTTAAAAGTATGAGCTGAGTCTGCAGTCCAAATATCCTGTGCTCGCTCTGTGTCTGAGACCAGCCAAAGAAGAGGGACATGTGTGATACATGGAGCACACAAAGAATGAGTCAAATGTAAAGGCTATAGATAGTAAAGGGTTGTTCTGCTAGGCACTTGGCATGCAGGGCTGTGGGGAATCATTGCTGGTTCATTTGGCTGGAATGTGTAGAATAAAAAGGGAACAAGGTCTTTGCAGCGTGTTGCTGCTGCCAGTTTTTATGGACTCATTTGGACAGGGCAGAGGATAGGATGTTCGGGCTGTGCTTGGGTTAGTCAGTAGGTGTATTTCATTCCCTAGACCAGCGGGTACTAGTGTTATTATATGTGTGTATAAGGTGGCCACCACTGCAGTGCCCTCTGTGTACATTCTGTTCAAGAGAGTATAAAACAGGGAACCTGCTCACCAGTTCCCTCCTGCAAACCAATTACCCTGACAGGACCACT